AATGGGAGGGGATGCGATTCCCCAGTGGATTTCCCTTCTCTCCCTTCTGCTGTCGGATAATTGACTACTCTCTACGATTCAAAGCAGATTGTGATTTGTAGACCCCTGCCTATTTTGGAAAGACAGTTTTGTTTTTTAAAAAAGACTGAGGGTAGAACATTTTAAGCCATCTCAACAACTAAGTTGAATTTTCAAATATAGCCACTGCAGTTGGTGACCACACAATCAATTTGCAGAGCATTTGAAAATATAGCAACTACTGTTCAAAGAGATTTTGGCATTTGCATGAAGATGGAACCCTGGAGTCAGTCTCTGTTCTCACTATGAGCACCGTTGGGGATGCGTATGGCAGAAATTGGTTAGAAACTGACCCTCAACCAGAGAACCTGGAGGCCTAAGCTTTTTCTTCTACCATTATTACCTCAGGGATTCTCTTAAAATCTTAAAAAGAGAGAAATGCAGGTTCTTGCTCATCGCTCTCTCTCTCTATCTCTCTGTCTCTGGCTTTATACATCATGCTACACTGTGGAATTATCCAGTATAGAAGAGTCAAATCTCCGTAGGTGGCACGACCGGGTTCTCCTTCCCTACTTGCCTCACACTCTTCTGATGTGCCCCCCGTCCTGCCTTCTGTCCACTGCAGCCTGGCTGGTCCAGCAACCCCAGCAGCCACTCTGTTGATAACTCTGTATACAGTATTAACTTCACTTCTTTCACACCTTGTCTTTTGTACCTACCCCCCCAATGCACACGCTTTTCACACCTCCAACCCTGACATTCTTCACTTGTTTTCCTTCTTTGATAAAGATAATACTTTCAAAAGTATTGTATTGACCTGTTCTGTTCTTTGTTTCAACACATGATCCTTGAGTGCCTACTATGCTCAGAGGTGGCGCCAGGCGCCAGCAGGGAGGGGTAGGCACAACTAAGAATGCGGGAGACAGATGTGAAGTCCCAGCTGAGGCTTTGGGATAGCCACACCTGAGTTTAAATCCCAGCTTTGACACTTTTTGACTGTGTGGCCTTGGTCAAACTATTCATCCTCTCCGTGTTTCACTTTTCACATTTTCAAATGGGAATTATTATAATATCTACCTCCCAGATGCGCTGTTTTGAATTAAAGGATACGATGGCGGCAACGTGTTTGGCATTGTGCTCGGCACATAGTCAATTCTCAACGAGCGCTGGAAATGAAATGTGATTTAAGCTCTGCCCACCAGGAGCCTGCAGTCTACCAGAGATAAAACAGGCATCTGCGTCACACGGTTACACTGACCAGATGAAGGTTTAAGCAGGGTGTCATGGAAACATAGAGGAGATGGATTCTAATCGAGAAATTTGGGAATGGTTCTTGAAAACATGCAGACTGGCAGCTATGAGGCATATTACTTAGGAAAAAGGGTGAAGAGAGATAAACACTAGGATTGGACCCAGAAGACTCGGGTCACTAGCTGCATGACCTTGGACAAATCACTTGAACTTCCTGAGCCCGAGTTTCCTTTTCAATAAAACAGAGTGAATAATACCAATTCTGCCTGCATCCCAATATTGGTGTCAGGTGAGATACTATATGGGAAGAGCTTTGCAATTTCTGAACATTAAAAATGTAGTAGTGATGGTGGTGGAGGTGGTGGAGATGCAATGAATGATTTTTATTGTCAGCCTGGTGGAAATCAATTTATATCTATCCGTTTATACTGCCTTGGCTTGTTCCCCCTGTGGCTCACGGTACCCTTTTGCAAGTCCGCTGGCCAGTGTTCTTGTCAAAAGAAATGTTTTGACAAAGACTACTCTTAATTTCTCATGCACACCAGATAGATAATTCAGAAGAACAGATAATCAAAACATCACTTCTACTTAGCACTGGAACATGAAAAGGAGGGAGTGCACAGAAGGAGGCCTTAGATCACCTACGAAGTGAATAATTAAGAATTCACTCTAATAAGAACTCGCAAAATCTCCGTGCAAGTGGGGATCACACCACGGTGTGGATCTGAAAATCCAAGATGGCAAAGCAGGCAGGTTTTAGCCTTTAGAATTCACTCTCTCCACCACCCTCTGTCTCCGTCATCTCTGAGGGAACTGCTGAACTGAACATGCTAGCAAAATTTGGTTTTGTCTCTCAGGCCTGGGATTTTGCAGTTTGCTCTGTCCTGGATGGGCTGTGTGCATACCTTGAAGCAAATTGTTGGCGTAGCTCCCGGTTCGCTCAGCCAGCTTACTTTGTTACAAAGGAGGATTTATCTGTTTACCTCCTTTGTCCAAACTAGAGGACAAAGAGCATGGCAACTAGTGGCTGATCACAGGGACCGCTGGAGCCTGCCCATAAAAGAAAAAAGAAGAACTCCCCCACCCAGGGCAGTCTTTACACTTGCCCCACAAAGAAGCTCACAAGTATGCACCCTCCAGAGGACTGCAAAGAGCGGGCTACCCCACAGCTGGGGGGGGCAACACCCCAGAAAGCTAAATAATAGTAAGGGTGCTGTCACCAGGGCAGTGATAACAAAGTCTGGCTGCCGATGCTGCTGCTCTGGGGCATCCTGCCATGTAGACCCGATCTTTAGGGTCCTCCCTTTAAAATGACATGTTGCAGGGGCCATGATTTTGGGGGATTAACTTGGCATTACATCATGTGCCTGAGAATATATAGGTTCATATGACGATGAAGAATTGAAGGTTAATAAAACAACTCAGGGCCGGGCGCGGTGGCTCACGCCTGTAATCCTAGCACACTGGGAGGCCGAGGCAGGCGGATCGTTTGAGCTCAGGAGTTCGAGACCACCCTGAGCAAGAGCAAGACCCTGTCTCTACTAAAAATAGAAAAATTAGCCAGGCATCGTGGCGTGCACCCGTAGTCCCAGCTACTCAGGAGGCTGAGGCAGGAGGATCACTTGGGCCCAGGATTCTGAGGTTGCTGTGAGCTAGGCTGACGTGACGGCACTCTACTCATGGCAACAGAGTGAGACTCTGTCTCAAAAAAAAGAAAAGAAAGAAAGAAAAAATAAAATAAATAATAAAACAACTCAGAAATATTAATAATAGTAATAAGCCACAAAAAGAAAGTCTTCACGGTGGGAAGCATACAGGATTTGAAGTCAAGCAGACCTCTTCACATTCAAATCCTGTAACTTGCTGGGTGAGATCAGACAAACTACTTAACCTCTCTGAGCTTCAGTTTCTTCATCTACAAAATGAGGGTAATAACAGTAATTATCACAGAGATGTTTGGGAACAAATAAAATTCAGCACAGTCCCTGGCACTGAAAGAGGGTGCAATAAATAGTAACTGCTACAATAACTCCTAAGCTTCTCAAAATGCTCAGTTTGCTTAGCATGACTAAGTCCATTTCCAAAAGGCGCATAAATACGCTGTCTACAGAATGCAGTCATTGCTCTGTTCTTTAAGGAGCTCCAAAGCACTATTGTTGTTTCTTCTTTTTTGCAAAGCTAGGAGGGTGGGAAAGTGAAGGGTTACAATTTTCCATTTCACAGACAGGAAATCTGAGGCATAAAAAAAATAAATTACTTGCCTAATGTCACATAAAGCGAGCAGCAGAGCTATAATCGGTCATGACCCCCAGTGCAATGCAGCTTGTCTTCACCTTTCAAAAGTCAGGGGTAAGCAACTCCTGTCTGAGCTCTAATACCATCAGTCTAATTTCTCGGATTTTCTCTAGCTGCTGATCTTTAGAACCTTTGAAGCTTTGGGGAAATCACATGGGTGATTTGACCTTAAATCTCATGCCACTGGCAAAAGATTAATTGCTAAGACCTGGAAAGGGGCCAGATACTTCTGTGTAGCTGAATAACAGCATCGTCTAGGGATGTGCCAGTCCTGACAGATTTAGTTAGTACTTAATTGATAAATCTAGAGTTTGTATATCTTCACTTTTTGCAGATAGATAAGGCAACAGGCTCTGAGGGTCGATGCTTCCACAAGCTCTACCCGTGTTTTATAACCCTGAATCCAGGTTTTCCACCTTGTTCCTCGGAGCACTGCTCATTCTCCAAGGCTCTGTTGCAGCAGCCAGGAAGAGGAGGGCATCTGACAAGAGTGCCACCTTGCCCAGTGTAAGCGAGAAGCCTCATCAGGTTGGCACTGTCACATGACTGCTTTGAAAGTCTTATTTACCCTGATCCATCGCAGGCTGAGGTCAAAGAGGGATCCAGCGCATTTCGTAGCAGCTAGAAAATTTTCTTCACCATCAGAATCCAAAAAAAATAAAAGGCAGCCACGCACAGCATCAAAGCTTGGACAGTGAGTCTAAACCTTGGTCAGGAAATTTTACACAGCTTGACTCTCGTTCCAGACTCCAGTGTCAGGAGACCCTTTTGAGCGATTTGAACTCTGACAGACACACAGAAACCTCAGCTTTTATTCCTTTGACTTTGGTCACCCACTCCACGAAGTATTTCACTTATTAGAAGGAATTCGTGGTGGGTATTTTTTACTGTGATTTGTATTCGGAGCCCATTGACTTAATTTTAAGATTTGGTTATCTTTCTTTAATGCTAGCTCTGTAGTTTTAGGTTTCAACTCCAGAGCCATCGTTGTGTGCCTGACATATACCCCATGTACTTCTGTAATTTTGTCACTTCTGGTTGTAAAACATCTGACCCAGTAGCTTAGGTCAGTAAATCAGTGGCTCATGGTGTACAAGATTTTATACACAGTGGATCAGGTTTTCCGGTTTTGGGATGGTAGAGAATAAGGATGGCATTAAATAGCCTCTCTTGTCCTCACATATAAAACTCCAGTTGCTTCGTGTATTGTAACTCAACACATTGTGCTATTTTTCTGAGCTAATCGTTACTATTTTCTGAATAGAATTTACTGAAATATGTTACTTTTTAATAAGCATTTAGAAAAACATCGTATTATGTATAAATAATCATTTTATAGCATATACAATATTTTAAATATTAAAATAGTTTATAAGATTGTTTCTGGAAACTCTGTGGCTCTGAGTTAAGTAGAAGATTTTGTCTTCTTTTATCAGATGAATTAGAGAAATTGGAACAGGAGAGACTGGCTTTGGAAGCCACCATCAAAGATAATGAGTGCGAAGAAGGAAGTGGAGGCATCCGAGGCTTGTTTAAAAAAGCTCGCAAGCTGAACATTACTAAGCCAACGCCTAAAAAAGGTAAGCGCTTTTGAAAATGTACAAGGAAGTACAAGATGAGTCACTGTTTGAGTATCCATAAAGAGTCAGAAGTCGGCAGGCATCTGAGATGTCGGGGGCACTGAGTGTAGGTAGGGACGGACAGATTTCCCTTGAAAAGGTAGTACAGCTCAAAGGTAGAAGCTATTGTCATTTATCAACATCAGTAAGTACTTTGTACTATCTGTTGTAAAAAACTTTATTTTAGAAGAGTAATATTTGGTTTGGGAGTCATATAGTGCTTAAGCAGATTGAGTGCCATAAAATAGAAATTTCTCAGTTAAGATGGAAAGGGGATAGAAATTTAAGAGCCAAACTAATCTGCACCCTACTTACCTTGCCGACCTTTCAGGGGACTGAAAGTTGACTAGTACAGGTAAATTGGGGATACAGCTAGAACTCTAATTTCGAAAAAAAGCATCCTTATCACAAACCAGAATGCAGGACTTGGAACTTCAGGGATACTAATTACTTGTAGATTTCAGCTAATGGGTCCACTCATCTCTGATCGTCTGGTGTACATTCCAGGACAGAAGACTAGAGGATGAGAGAGCTTGTTATAAGTTTTATAAACAAGTGATTCAAACATCTGATTTTTTTGAAAATTTGCTTTCTTTCCAAAGCACCACAGGTTTGAGTTTAATGAGGTCCGCAGTGACCTCTGCTGGTAGAAAATTAGAATGCTAACGTGCATTTCTTCCTGCACAAATGTCCCATAGTTACTGAAGGCAAACGCTAGGGTGAGGCCAGGAAAAGATCATTTCTCTGGAAGGATCTCCAAGTCAAGGATGAGATCCAAGTTGGGACTTAGCAGGTCTCTGGTCTAGGTTGACCAGAGCCAACCCTTCAAAGAGGTCATCTTCTACCCTGCAAATGGTTTGGCTCTGTTAGCTTGTTCTACTATAGCCCAAGGATGAAATTTCACCTATAGTATAATATTTTTATATATTTACAGAGAATGATAAGAAATTCAAATATTGCCCCACTTTAAATACTAGAGGTACATCTGGGTTCCAGGGATGTCCCATGGGCCATGGAAGAGCCTACTACTTACTGCCCACCTCAAAATGACATAAATGATGTGTTTCAATCTAAGTTGGTGCTACGTCAGGACTTTCAGGGTATAGAAATTAAAGTAAAATTGTTCTGGATGCTAACTCCTATCTTCTTTCCTTTCCAACTATCTGGTTTATTAAATCTGCTCTATTAAGTGGTACAGTCTGGAAAAGCAATGTGACATTCAAAAGTCACAGTCCAATACTGTCCTCTAGCTGATGGGGAGGGGGAAGCATTAATGTCCTTATTAATGAAAACAAGACTTGTTATTACTATTTATTCTGAAGCCTGTTCCTGCATCACAATACTCATTTGGACAAAAATGTACTCTTCTGAAAGTCAACATGCCTCATTGTTCAGAAAAGCAAAATAGGTAGTGTTATGCGCTATTTTCAAGACCTAGAGGCTTAAACACAGCTCCAAAGTGGGCGCATTCACTGCTTTGGGCTTTAGTTGGTTGACAGCTCTTTTGAGTTCTAGACCAGGACCAACCCTGCCTCCCTCATATGAAAGTCCTCTGGATGCTTTGATTTGCATGTAAGTACGAGCAGAGTTTAGTCTGTAATTTGTAAATAAATTTTCCTCCCTCAGTGGTCATAGGGATAGAGAAACAATATAAGATAACTGCTTCAGAACTGACAGACCCCAGACACGGCAACAGCGAAAGACAGAACAAAGAAGCTTCAGGAGCTCTTAGATCAGAGAGGCAGCTCTGAAGAGACTGTCAGCTCTACTCTGAGCGCTACACTGATACCACCTCTTTGAGACAGAGCAACGGAGTCACAGCTTTCAAAGGCTCGGAAATGAGAAATAATACACACAGTGTGGCAGTGAAACCCCTACTGGCAAACAGGAACAAGGGTCCTGCTCAAACACTGGCCTACTTTCCTGGTACATTTTCACTGCATCCGTGCCAGGGCGGAAATTGCATTTTAAAAAATTGTTTTTAAGTATTTTATGTGCACCCTTAATTATAACCGAAGTAAAGGTATTTTGTCTTTCTGTATATGCTGGCTTTTTTTCTTTCATCTCATTCACAAAGATTCAAATAGCTCAAGTGGCTTTACCTTAGCTTCCCAAGATTCCTCTAAAAGAAAACAGAGAAGCCAGACCAACCGTGGGACCAAACAGCCATAGAGAATTCCAGATGCACATGGTTTCTGGCAAACGTTATAATCCAGACCTTAATTGTGCTTCATGAATGAATTCCCGAACAGAAGAATTCCCCCGATTCTATTGCTTATTTCTAGAAAACCAATCACAAAATGTTCTACTTCTAAGTAAATTTGAAAATACTAAGTGGATTTGTATCTGAGATTAGGGAAAATTGGGATATTTTGGCTGTCATATCAGATAATTTAGCATTGTTACATGCCTAAACAATAATTCCACGCTCATACAGGATCAGAAAATAATCCACTACTTTACAATAAATACTATATTCATAAAACCAATGTCAAATTTTTGCTTAACTATTGAAAGTGATCTAATTATTATTGTGGGACTCGACCTTTATCTCTCCTTTTTGGAAACTAGAGCTCACTATTTATCAGTAGGTATAATAAACATGAATTTATGACTTTCTCTCTATTTTCACCAGATTTATTGGAAAGTTGTTTTGTTTCTGTTTTCAAAAAAAAAAAAAAAAGATGCATCACTCTCTCTTTCATTTCAGAAGGCAGCATTAACACAATCCAGTCGATGCATGTGGGAGAGTTCAACCAGAAACTGGTGGAAGCCAGCACTCAATTTAAAAAGAAACAAGGGAAAGGCACAATTGATGTTTGGTGGTTATTTGATGATGGAGGTAAAATCTTCTAGAGCATATACCAGGGAGCAGAATTTCTACTTTGATAAATTTAACAAACTGCATGGGAAGGTAGATGAAAACAAGACTGATTAAAGAATAACATTTCTGTGTTCTCCAAAGATTGTGAATTATTGAAGAGCTATGAATGTGGGAATGAGTAAAGATATAAAGCTATTCATTTCCTTTCAGTTAGACATACTCATCCTTTCTGTCATAATTTATTCTTTATTCCAGGGTTAACACTTCTTATCCCCTATATCTTGACTCTCAGAAAAAAATGGAAAGACTGTAAATTGAGAATCTATGTTGGAGGGAAGATCAACCGCATTGAAGAAGAAAAAATCGCGTAAGTAGTTTACTACTCATGTGCTAGTTCATTTCAGATGTTCATTGCTTTAATACTTTAATTTTAAAGACCTTTAAGTTTCTTTGAGACACAATAGATTTAAAAACAAAGGCTCCAGGATAGGCCCTGTGTTTTCTTGGTTTTCTGGTCAATAAATTAGACGTGTATTTTTTCTAATCACTGTCTTCAAGTCCTCTCATCCCCTGCCACAAATGCTTTCAAAAAGGAATTTGGGGCCAGGTGAGGTGGCTCATGCCTGTAATCCTGTAATCTGGGAGCCCGAGGCAGGTGGATCGTTTGAGCTCAGGAGTTCGAGACCAGCCTGAGCAAAAGCGAGACCCTGTCTCTACTAAAAAAAAAAAAAAAATAGAAATTATCTGGACAGCTAAAAATATATGGAAAATAATAGTCAGGCATGGTGGTGCATGTCTGTAGTCCCAGCTACT